GTAGGGAAGGTGGGATGGGTAGGGGAAGGGTAATAAGGGAAAAGAAAAAAATGTGAGAAAATGAAAAGATGGAAATAAAGTGTTTGTAAATGGGGAGGGGAGGAGGGGGTGAAGGGAGGGCAAGGACAAGGGAAAAAAATGAGAACCAAGACCTGTCATGTAAAGGTACAAGATCCCAATAATGAATGTAACTGTACTGTGTCCCTAAAATGTACCAATAAACTCAATTTTAAAAATCACAGAATAGAGTTAAGGGTCTGACATATGAGGTGTGATCAAAAATTACAGTGAACCTTTAAATTAAAAAAAAAGCATTACAGTAATGACATTGCCATTAATCCCCCTCAAAATATTTCCCTCACTTTGAATCATTTATCTCATCATTCTTTTCACTTTCTCAAGCAGTTCTGGCAGTCATGTTCTGTTGTGCCATTGTGGATGCCTTGATGATCTGAATTGATTTGACATGTTTATTTTCAGGGTTATTTTGACTTTAGGGGAAAGCCAGAAATTGCATGATGCCAGATCCAGTGAAAAAGGTAGGTGAAGACACACCTTAATATTTTTAGCAGCAGCATTCCCCATATTTTTGATTATCCCTCATCAAGACATTTATCAAATGGGACTTCCAAAACTGCTTTAGAAAGTTGCCAGCATGACAAGTGTGTTCAAAGAGAGGGGGAGCGTTTTGAGGAGGAATTAAACAGCAGTATGTCTTTTGGTGTATTATTTTTTTATAATTAATTTTCACTGTGTATTTTGGTCACACCACATACATTCAGATAGCCGTGATGACATGCAATCAGAAGCTATGTCACAGAACAGAGGTTTTCAAACCGTGGTAGGTGTCTAATTCAGGAGATTCCTAAACCTGACCTAAAACCACAGGAGTACATAAAACACCACAGGTGATTCAGGTCCTACAAAAGCTTTGAGCGGCACTGCTCTGCTGCAGTGTTAATATTCCTTGAAAATATGAATTTGTAACCAAATAAGTTTGTTGATCTCACTGTTTCTCATTAAACAGAGATCCTTGCGATGGGCTTTTTAGAACAAAATGTGCTAATGCACTGCATGTGGCAGTGGTTCCCAAAGCCTGCCTCTCCAATATAACCTGGAAACTTGTTAGAAATGGAGCCTTTGGCAAGCTCCAGACCTACTCATTCTGAGTCTTATAAATCTTCCAGGGGATTCTTATGTGTGCAAGAGGCTGACAATCAACTGTCTGCAGTATTTTCCAACAACATTCGACTACAAGAGAAATGCTACTGCATTGTGCATATATGTGTGCAGTGAGGGTATGTTAAAGTGGTATCATTACTTGCAGAGAGGGTTCTTGGAGAACTATTTACTTACATATTGATTTATTTAAACATATTGTTCTGTTAAAAAAATTTGAGGCAGCTAAGAATGCTAAGACTAAACTATTTAACTTGGAAATTCTAATCCTTTCCTATTTATGCCAGGTTCCCAGATGTCTTAGTTACTTTTCTCATTGCTGATCCAAAATGCATGACATCCAAAATTAAGGGAAGAAAGGTTTATTTGGCTTGCAGTCTGTAGAGGTTTCAGTGCATAGTCACCTGGCTCCAAGGCACGGTGGAATGGCAGAAGGACGTCACAAAGGAGAAATAGTTCATGGCAGAAAGAACGTAGCAAAGCAAGGGACTTTAGGCAGCTTCTTTCTGCCCCTTTTATATTCTATCTAGGTCACTGGGATTAGCGCAGTGCTAAGGAAATCAGTGGACTGATTTAATAATCACACACCCTTAATCCTAACACCCTTAATCCTAGCATTGGACCATGAATCAATAACACTCTCTAGATTCACCCACCTCTGAAAAAGCCCCATGAATGAGGCTTTTGGGGGACATCTAGACAAAAGCCATAACACCTAAATACATCAAAGTTCCAATTCTTAAAACTATGATCCAATTTACAGTATTCCTGAATAATGAACGAACAAGACCAGTAACAAAGTAGTCCATAACCAAACCTTAAAGTTCTTGGAGAAAGAAGGAGACAATACACTGTTCTCTTTACAGATTGAAAATTAGTATGATTTAATATGGGAGGAGGTTGAGTAAGGTTTACCATTGTTTAAAGGAACTAAAATCTTTTAAAAGGTTCTTGAATCCAAGATTGGCATGCAGCCTCGCCTTATGCTATAGAGCTCAGGCAGGATGATGGTAGGCCTGAAGATGAAATCATAAGGTGATTGAACGAAGCTGGGCTGGGTTCAGAGAATGCGCTTAATCTGGCTGAAAGATCTTTGGAACATGCAGTCTCCTATCCTTGGAAAAGAAAGCTGCTTGGACCATGGTAGCTATCTTGCATATGCCCTGAACAGCACCAATTATGGTTTATCATTCTCTTCCCTTCAGATAGTGACTACTTAAAAGGCATTCACTCTCAGGCAATGGCAGCTTTGGGGAGATAGAAAACATTGACATTCGAGAACGTATAGGTTTTCATTCAGCTCTCAGAGGTGGAAGGGACTTTAGACATTTGGTCCTGTGTATGCCATCTACAAAGGCAAGGAATGAGTAAACAAGAGGAGAGACGACATTATAAGTGGCAGAGAGAATACTAGGGCATAGATATCATTTGTACAATTTGATCATTGAATGGGAATGTGAATCCCTCAGTACCAATCTGAAGCTTTGGTCAAATAAACACTTAGGAAGTATTCATGTTAATATGAATGTCTAGACTGTAGATTATCTGAGGGAAATACCTTATATACATAAGTCAGTGTTTAACCCCACCTTCTAATATAGTTAGTCGCATATAATAAGATACTCAATAAAATGCACATTGAGGGAATTTTTTTCTTTGAATGAATATAAAGAGTTTATTCAGTGTGTATTTGGGTATACAACAACAAATATTAAACAACTTTTTTTAAATTTTTTGTGCACAGGACAGAAAACTGCCTGTACACGCTATGTTTACTTTTGGAACACAGATTTTAACAATTATTAATGCACAAAATTTTACATATCATGCAACTCTATGCCAAGATTCCCACTTTCTTCCATGCAACAGATATGAAGATCTAAATGGAAACCTAGGTAAGTCTTAAACACTTTTCCATTAGCAAGTGTAATATATATTGTTTAGGGGTAACCGGTCATAACATTTCCTTGTACACAATATTCACGTGCCAAATACAATGACAGGAGAACTCATACATATACAGATTAAGACACTTCTTATTTTATCAACACAAAAGACATCACAGTTCCACAGTTTCTGTCCTTTTATACAAGAAGCCACAACAATATATTAACACAAATGGAATTAGGAGAAATCTACACTTGAAGATAATCTTTTTTTTTAAGTTATCTTTACTAATTGGGGTTGACAATACAACTCAATTTCTACACACAAAGTACAGCACAAGAACTCGACCAAAGTACTACAAATCTAAAAAAACTGGTAAAATCACAAGAACACTGTTACTTTGAGCCTGAGATGCCAATTCAGATTCAACCCTGAATTTGGTTGATTTGGATTAAGTGACAGAGTCAATAGAATCACTGGAATTCAGAAATCAAAAGCTGCACTATACGAAGGTAAAGAGTACATCGAATCAAGCGTAGATAGAAAACATTAAGCCAAGAAAACAACACGGTTCACATAATTGTGTTTGCCTCTACAAAACATTTAAGCAGTTAATTTAGTTTAGTTTGTTTGTTTGCTTGTTTGTTTTTAAAGAACAATTATGGTCTTTTAAATTTTATTGGTTGGAGAGCAAATTTTGATCAGAATTAGTGCTGTGAACTAATTTTTAGTTAATCATCCCCAAAATATAGGTAAGATCATGAGATAATTTTGCAGTCCTTTTCCAAGATTTAGTTCATTGATAATGCTTGGCATTCTTTTGCACAAGCTTGATTGAAATTATGGGGCTTTAGTATGGATGGGAACAAATTCTGTCGGCAGATCAGAGAGTGAATTCTGCCTGTTTTGTTTGATACACCTCACTGACAAATTTGAACTTTTGGGTGAAGGACTGCTCAAGAATTCAACAGCATCTGGAGGTAAGGTTCTGTTACAGAGCCCTTGTTTTGCCCTCACTGGCTACGTTGATTCATTGTGGCTCATGGATTTGCCCCCATTCAGCACGCCAGAGACACTTCTGCTCTTGGTCGGGGTTCCACTTCCAGATCGGGAGAACTCGGTGAGATCGTGCAGTGATGGCTCCTTGTACATGGCCACTGTAAAGCAAACACATACAGACAGTATGAAGACCTCACAATGGGTTGAGACTTGCTAAAAGTACTGATTTCAAGTTCTCTCACTGCAACAATAGTAAGTCGGCAAGGCAACCCATGTATGTTAATTATTCCAATGCAGCTGTCCCTCATTATACACACATTATATAATATCTTGTACATGAAAAATGTATACAGTTTTTATGTGTTAGTAAAAAATTAACTAAAACAGGAAAGAAATATGGAAAAATATAAAAACAACTGGGCACATCACACTGGTACTCAACGTTTCTTCTGGTTTCTAGGCTGCTATGCATCAAGCCAAACATGAAAAGTCCTGCTTTCAAGTACTCAGTAGAGAGAGGCTGAGATCAATTAGGCAAAATCAAGCCTTGATACAGTATTATATAAAGAATTTTAATGCCTAACTTCTCTTTCTTGTAGTTATATATGAGAGGATTAATGAAAAAATGAATTTAATAAAGCCCTTAGAAGTTTAAATATGATCTACAACATACTGCATGAGCCAAATGCTGCAATTTAAAACATTTTAAAACCCTGATTTCTATCATACTTTAAAATGAAACTCTCCAAGAGTCTAAACATTAGCATAATTCTTAAATAAATAGTAACAATTATTATTGTTGGACTGTAAATAACAATTAAACACAATTAAATAACAGTACTAGCTTATACTCATGAAGCTCTAATAGCACAGTAGATACTGTTCTGAATTTTACACTTGTACTACCTTATTTAATCCAGGTAAGAATATGATGATGTAAATAATCGTACCCATATTTTATAGATGAACTTCAGGCACACACAAGTGAACAATGTTCTCAAGACTATTCAATTAATAAAAGATGAGGCTGGAACTCAAACTCACATAGCCTGTCTCCAGAAACTGAGTTGTAAAACACGGTGCTATATTGACTGTGATGGGAGGAAGCATTCTGCACCTACTTTAAACTCCTTTTCTAACTGTGTGAAGGCTTCCTCTAGTTTGCCTTTTCTTCCCTTTCTCAGTGCCAAATTCCTATCTTTTACCTTTCTAATTTGCTTTCCATCTAGTAGTAATAACTAGTAGTCAAGATTCTTGGGACCCTATTTTTGGGATCTTGGCATGGGCTGAAGGAGCTTGCCAACAGAGTCAGGTATGCAAGCATTTTTACATCTATGTTTCCAACCATATACTGTTTTTGCATAATTTGGGGTTCTTACATCTCTGAGTTAACAATTCAGCTACTTCCACCTAAGTGAAGAGTTGCTGTTATGTAGGTGAACAATGAAAAAATTCAAATCACGAGAACAAATGCTCTTGTCACTGGCTCCATATTCTTATGGCTTTGATTTCCTGAATATAATCTATTTATTGTTTTTGGAGTATTGTAAATGTTTGCAAATTTTTTTAAATGTGAAAGAATTATTCTTCACTTTCAAAAGTGTGGTACAAGATTGATTTAAATTAGTTTTTTGGAACCATCATCCACAATTCCAACAATATCAATTTTTACCTTTCAGTGGTTTGGGCAGAAAATGGGCTGCAGGCTTGTTTTTCTTCACATGGTTGCCTTTCATGATCTCTCCTTCTTTGTTCAGACCCAGATACCACCCTCGGCCTGACTGCTGCTGACGATATATCATTGATGAATATGTCACGTAATAATTTTCAAACACTGATTCTTTGAATTTGCACTCAGGTGTGAAATGTTCCTGCAACAAGAGTAAATAAACAAAAGCTCAATGTTTATCATGATAAAGTTCATGTAGAACAACTGGAAATGCCTTTCAGGAGTTTAGGATATACTTTGTTAAAGCTTGTATGAGTGGTACTCTATTATAATAGAATTAACTATTATCACTGTAAATCAGTAAACTATATAAAACCTTTCACATGGTACTTTAGGAAAAGTACTAAGTACTACTTGATCAATATTAGCACTCTTTGTAAAGGTAATGGGAAAATTAGAATTAGTCACATAAGTATAATTTATTGGACAAATATGAGAGTCAAAGACTGAAGGGACAAGCACAAAGCTTTCATATGGCTCTCTGTTCCCTTCAAGAATAAATAAGAAATTAAACATTCAGTCTTTGTAATTATTTTTTGTGGATTCTCAAGATAATATACAGCACAAATATCAGTTGCTTGAGCTAAGACCTGTGTTACAATGCTGGCTGACTATATTTTTAAAAGGGTGGTACAAAGGACTACCTTCTACTTTAAGGTAAGCCAAATTGATTATTTTTCAGATCACTGGACCTTGGCTTTAAAAAGAAAAAAATCCCCCTCACGCCCTTCTTGCCTTACAGTAATATTTACAAACAAATCAATACAAAGCAAGGGATTTACAGTAATTCTACAAGTAGACATGAGATATATGTACACATGTGTAAATTTGTGTAGGCAATAGCAGTCATTAAAATGACCATTTCTGAGAAAAACGAAAGGAGCAGATTTTTATAAGTAACCCACAGAGTAGCAGAAGAGTCCACTTTGAGTGGAAGAGAATGAGGAAAATGCTGACTGAGCTATATGTGACAAAAACGCCAATGAAGCTATAAGGTTTGATAATTCACTTAGATGACATGTGTAAATTTGTGTAGGCAATAGCAGTCATTAAAATGACCATTTCTGAGAAAAACGAAAGGAGCAGATTTTTATAAGTAACCCACAGAGTAGCAGAAGAGTCCACTTTGAGTGGAAGAGAATGAGGAAAATGCTGACTGAGCTATATGTGACAAAAACGCCAATGAAGCTATAAGGTTTGATAATTCACTTAGATGTTATCAGAAATGATTGTTGATAATATCATTTGAGTTTTTTTTTAAACCCTGTATTGCAAACCACCAGTCTTTTATAAAGAGTGTCTCCATGGTCTTATCTTCCTTCATTTTAATAGTGGACATCTTGCTAAGCAATGCATACTAGCTTAACAACATCTGAAATACTCTAAGTCACTTATGCAAAGAGAGTTACGTTGCTCAGCATTTCTCTAGCAGTTAAATATATTCTTTTCCTTTCTTAGACTCTAAAACCTCTATCTTACTCAGTAGTCTGATTGATTCCCCAATTTGGCCTCAAGGGTGCATGGAATGGAGTCTCTTCAGGGGTTATTTCAGACTAGGTGCACACTTTACAGATTCTCAGAGGATTCCACAAATTCAACCTACTTGAGAAGAAATGTACTTTTAGGGCAACTGTCACTTTGTCGGAACTAAAAGCGTTCTATTTATGGGGTGTGAAAACTCTTCTTTGTAGAATTTCTTGACATAGGAAAAGCCAAGGTGTGCTTCCAAAGAAACATGTCTAAGAGTCTCCATATTTCCTCTAGTGATGAGGACAATGGCATAGAATTTCACTGAAGTTCTTTGGGAATAAAATCACCATTAGGAAAAAATTTATCTGTATGTATTAGATTTTTACACGCATAAAGTGTTAGAAAGCATTGCAAAATAAAGCTTGTGAATAATACATATGACTGAGGCTGGAGCATTTAGCTACATGAACAATATATGGCTGACCTCAGAACGATGAGATGAGATCACAGTGTTTGCTGAGGCAGGTACCAAAAAAGGACTGCATTTACTGTCTGGTGTGATAGCAGCATTCATTCATTTCATATACATTTTCTATTGGTCCGTTATGTGCTTGGATGGTGCTAAAAATTCATAGGTTTATAATATGTGCACTCAGACAGCTTACTACATACTTGCAGGAGCCAGGCAAGTACCCAGATAGCCTGGATACAAGGTGTACTACTGTGAATGTAGGAAAGGAGGCATAAAAGAGGTATCATGTGGGAAGAAAGGAAGTCAGACTCATTTCTGACTGGGGGCCTAGGAATACCTTCAAAGAGAGTGTGCCATTTCAGCTGAGACTCAGAACATAGGTAGAATTCAGAATAGATTAAAGGGAAGAGTAATACTGAGGCACAGAGCCATACTTGCTCTACCCTCTATTTCCCTGCATTCCCTCTCTTAGAAATTGCAGTCTACCTTCAGAAGATCTTTACATCCATCCATCCATTCATTCATATGCACTGTAGTCTACAATCGAGGACCTCAACCTTCCATTCTTAACACCAGTGAACTAGTTTGTGCCTTTATTCCCTCTGTGGTCTCCTGTAAGAATCCTACTGGTAGTGCTGGTTAATCTTTATTGTCAACTTGACTGGATTAAGAGACTCCTGAAGAGATAGTTGGATTGTGAGGGCACTAATCTTGTCACTGGATTAAGCAAATGGCCAATTCATACCTGAATAGGCTATTAGGAGGTGGGACCACTCCTGCATGGCTTTTCTCCTGTTCGCTTCATGGCTGCCATGAGTTAAATGGCTTTCCTCTACCATGCTGTTGCTATTTCTACCTTACAGCCAGCAGACAAAGCATGGAATGAAGCCTTTAAAACCATGAGTCAAAAAACAAAACAAAACAAAACAAAAAAAGTCTCCCTCTTTAAGTTGTAACTGTAAGGTATTTCTTCCACAAACAGAAAGCTGAACAATACACTTATCTTTTCTCCTCTGCTGGCAGATTCGCCTCCCTAAAGCAAAGTGCCTTTCCTCAAGAACTTTTGATGATTTGCAACTTGCCTATGTAAAAATGACAAACAACTTCATGGGACATTTAAAATCTTCCACTAGTCAGTCACTAGCATGCCTTACAGTATCAACTGCCACCACAGAACCATGTGAGCCTTTCCAGATGCCATTCATTTTCTTTGTTTATAATGTCATTTTACTGGTTTTTCTCTCTCATCTCTCAAAGCCAAGGTCAAATAAAAGTATTTATGGAAGCATATGATTCTTCTAATTTGAACGGATTATATCCATATCTGTGATCCTATAAATTCTATCTACATCACTGGCATGATCCTGTGATACACACACATGCATGATTAGCTCCAGTGGATGGAAACTAATTTATTTCCAAAACTCCCCTCCCCACAAACAAAAGGTCATCTTGCCTAGCTCATGGCAGAATATTTGATTATTAGATCACTCAATTGGTACTAACAGATTTTGAATTTAAGAGATTCATGTTTAAATATTTGAAATTCTAAAACTCAGAAGTACCAAACAGAAAAACGTCTGCAGGGATTTTCCTTAATACCATCAAATAAAATGAGCAGTATGTAGAAGGAAGCTGTCACTACACAGATAGATCTTGCATGGGTGATTTAGTATCTCCTATGAATGACACGGCACCTACAACGTTAGGAGGAAAACTTGACAATTGGTACAACTATTGGAAAATAGAAAGAAAGGACTCAATGAACTGAATGCTCTGTCATATCCCGGTAAATTCTTAGTCATCTCCACTAAATTTGGACTCGAAATCTCAGTAGAGAGAAGAAATTGAGGCCCAAAAAAGAATGTTGAAGCAACCAAAGGAGTGTTCTGTTCTCTGTGTATGACACTGTCATTTTATCCAGTGTCGGAATGAGTAGGCAAAAGAGATTTGATTTTTATCAAGTATAGAAAAATGTGACCATCCTCCCTCAAAAAAGAAGGTCCACCAGTGGGGACAGGGGCTGTAGCTTCCTCTACACCTTAGCAGTAACTCATACACATAATAGAATTTGGATTTGGCCCCAAGCCTCGAAGGCCCCATTCAGAGGAGAACAGGTAGACACGTTTCAAAGAAACTACCTACTTTGATTGATTTGGAGATGCTCACTAGTGCCCTGGAAGAAAGAACCACAGTGATCTTGATGTATAGCAGGTACTTAATGAAGGACTTGCTAAGCACTATATAAATATCATTTATTAGAATGAGTGAATGAATTAAAAAGATGCCACATAGTTAATGCATAGTCACTATGAAATTACTCGTCATGAGTAAAAAATGGTGTTTTCTTTTTTTTCCTCATTGAGTTTATTGGTACATTTTAGGGATACAGTACAGTTACATTCATTGTTGGGATCTTGTACCTTTACATGACAGGTCTTGGTTCTCATTTTTTCCCCTTGTCCCTGCCCTCCCTTCACCCCCTCCTCACCTTCCCCTTTACAAACACTTCATCTTGTTTTCTATCTTGCAAACTTTTATACATTGATTTCTATTAAAAGTTGTTTATCTCTCCTGTATACTATATTTTATCAGAGAAATAACATCTTTTAAAATCTTTAAATTATTAATCAATGTCTAATATCTTTCATGTGTATAATTATCTGTATTCTACTCTCCTTTAAATTCAGGGTTATTCTCTTTCCAGTAAATATTGAAACTTGAAAATTTAGATCAGCTAGTTACAATGATCATATTTTGGGTAAGGAATGGGGAATCTACATTTAGGGAATACATGGATCCAAGAGTAAAATCTGATGTTTCCTTTGACAATTTATTCACACTACTCAGGGCGAAATAATTCTTTGGATGTTGAAATATCTCTGACAAGAAACTTTAATGTGCCAATGGGGTGCATCAATAGAACATATTAGAGAACTATTAGACCCATGGATGTTAACAGTCAGCTGCCCCAATCTTAGGTGAGATTAGAGCTCCATAGACTTTGAGAGTCAAATTAAGAAGGTATTATTAGCATAACCAATAAGTTGGATACATGCAAATAACCCCAGGATCAAATGATGTACCAGAAATGTATTTGCCCAGAAAAAAAGGGTTGAAGAGTAGTGTAAATTGCTCTTCTCTGTTACAGGCAGAAGAAGCAGCAGTGCCCTGGGTCGAGGCTGGCACTGAGGGTGAAG